GTGATATGTTTATTTCCATAAGATTTTCTTTTCTTATTTGTCTTTCTGCATGTATAAAGTGATGGCACACTTATTCTGTACATGTACTGATATTTCTAATAAAAAAACTTACCACGGAATATGTTGGTGGCATACGCGGCCAAGAAATCACAAGTAAAGGACCATGTACTATAAATAAATAATATCAAATTATGATTACTACAACAAACACCAAACTTACCTAGTACCGATGACGATCGTATTCGATTAATCTATAAAAACAAAGAAAAAAAAATTTTAAATTCGGCTATTAAGGGAAACGTTTCGAAACGATCACTCGCATCTGTTTCAGACATACCCTAAACTCGAATGTTGCTTGTGGTCGATTAATTCGACTATGATTGTTATTCATCTAGAACGGAAAATCAATAAAATTTAATAAAAACATTCCGATCAAATTATTACAAAAAATAACGTCTTTCCGACGATTAAAGTATATACATATAATAACTGATAGCTTTCGCGTATTAGCAGCTATTTTCTCTCTATCATTCTTCCAGGGCTTATTTTCTTTTTCTCAACAAAGACGACGACAGTTTATGACTATATGACGTATGTCGTTTCACTACACGATGATAAATGTGTTCATTCCATACTTCAGCGAATAATTTTATTTGTTTAGTTTAGCACGTTATCAAGACTTCAAAGAATTTCAAACACGTATTCTTCTTGCAACTAATTTATTTGTACTTAAACAAAGATATAAAAGAAAAGAAAATGTTTTGATAGTAAACACATTATTATCCCTTCGTAGTAGTGTGGGTGTGGGTATGGGTGTAAGTTAGAATGTGAGAGTGATTGATTGTGTTTCATCTATACACCCACATCCGTATCTACATACACACTCGATATAAGAAAGTACTTTTTGAGATATCATACATTTCTACATTGTTTCCATAAGAACTAACTCATTGGTCTTTATACGTAAATGTGTGCATCTCTTCATATAAGTCTAATGAACCGCCTGAAGCAGGAGAACTACGAAGGAGTATTATACAATTATAATTGCTCAATAGTGATATTTTTATTTACCAATCATTTTTTTTCTGTTCTGTCTTTCTAAACATATATATATATTGATGGTGTGCTTATTCTGCACATGTACCATTTCTGTTATAGGTGCTTTCTATTTTTTATCAACTGCTAGATTGTTTCCATAGCACCGAGCACATTTGACCTATATAAGAAACAAACACACGTGAACAGTCATACTAATTTTTTTCCACTACCTCAATCTAGAAAAAAGTTAGTTATGTGTAAAGGTCAACAAATTTCAGGGATTCCGTCGACACATGTGAGTACTCTAAAATGAAATGATCAAATATTTCGAAGTATTTTGTTTAGTTTTGATTTTAATAGCTGGTAACAACTTTTAACCTCTAATACCTTCCCCAACTTACTGTTCAGTTTTTGAGTTCCCTTGTGAATGAATTAATCTGATTCTTTCGTAGACGTTTATCTACACAGTAAAAGCTAACCGCGAAAAAATTCAAATCATTCGGACGATTTTAACTACTTCAAAAATAGCTGACAAAAAACTGTGTAACAGCGTTACGTTTGTTTTTTACATATTTCACACAAACAAAAATAGCTAAAAGAAACAGTTTTTTGACTTTGGAAAGCTCGTTCGAAGCTCTACAAAAGTGGTTCTGATAGCATTTCTTTTGAACAAAATCTATTGCAAGGAATTAGAGTTTCCTTGGTGGTACTAAAGAAAAAGTGTCTTTTTATGTAACAGTGTTACGCGACAATGTAACCTTTCTAGATATCCGAGGCTTCAACAAAAAAAAGATCTTTTTTTAATACAATAAGTAGAGTTCGATAAGCTGCATTAAATGGCGTTTGAACGAACGTTCTAGGCATTACACTTTCCTAGATAATTGAAGAAGAATGTGTCAGAAACGTAACAGCGTTACCTTTGGACAAGCCGAATAATCTTTTTTTTAGGTCATTGCTGATGCTGAAAATGAAGGTGAACAACAATTACAACAGGTGTCACCAACATCAACTACAAATGAGTTGCTGGTTTTATTAATTAAACAAGCAGAAAGACATCATGAACAAACTATTGATATGTTGAAAGTAATGTGTTCAGCATTCGTAAAATTGGTCCAGCAACAAGATGTTTCTAATACGAAACTGGACAAAATAACGAAGGGACTAAATGTTGATCCAAATGATAATGTAAGTTTTGTACATTCTTATATTTATAAAAAGAATATTTAATTTTAGATTACTCGTGATGGTGAATTTGGAACAAAATGTTCACTAATAATATATGATGAAGATGAAAATGATGAAGCATTTATAAATGAAGTTCCAAATCATTATGAAGAACAGCTTACTGAAATACCTGATGATATTGAGTTTGATGAAAATGATGAAGCATTTCTGAGTAAACTTTTAAATCGTTTTAATGAACAACTTACTGAAATACCTGATGATATTGATGAATAAAGTAAATATTTTTCTTTATATTTTTATCATTCTCTTGTTTTTTGTTTCTAGTCGAAAATCATTAATTTTCTGGTCTTTTTGGTTCAAATGGTACATATAAACTCTTTTCGTTTCTCGTCTCGATTTTTTTGTTAAACACAACCTGTTTCTATAATTTTTCTATGTAATTGCGATGAATCAGCTGGTAATTGATGCAATAAAGATCATCGAGCTTCGAAAAAGTTGAAAAAAATACTTCTAGGATACAAATAGTAGATTACAAAAACAAAATACCTTTCATTATTCGGTTTCAAGAGTGCGTAACTTTATTGAGACCTTCTATGACTCTTTTGCTTTATCTAAATTAATCTTTTCATAAGAGTTACTTGGTATATTTCATAGTCATGAGTAGAACGACATACTGTGAAATACTAATTATTATCTGTTAAGCTTACAATGTTCCTTATATAGGTCAGAGTACTGTTCGATACAATATCATCGAATATGTTAACCATACATAGAAATTAGATTATTTCCTTATAGTTCAACTGGAATTTCGACTATTAAAAAAATATTTTTTTTGAATAAATGTCTAGTATATATATTTATTAAACAACATAATTTTTATTTAGAAAATACGAATTAACATACATTTCATATATTGAATACAAATACATTTATGAATGGAATAAATATATAATATATACTTGTCATCTTGTCAAACAACAATATAATTTCACCTGGATCTATCTGACAGCTATGTCTTCATATTGTATTTTGATGTGTTCAAAATAGGATTTCTTTTTTTTTCAATCAATTCTTTTTTTATATTGATGTCAAAAGTGTCAATTACATTGTCGAAGTTTTACATTGTTGATGGCGATGATGGTATGGAGAATTTGGTCCACGAGTAGTTAATGTTGTATTTACCACACTATTCAATTGATATTGATAAACAGGTATTGTAGTATATTGTTTATTACATAAAATATATCGATGAAAAAATATTTTAACATATACTGAATAATCATTAAATGTTTGCATTGTTGCTCTACGAAAACGTTGTCCAGCAAAACAATAAAATATAAAATTTGTCTTTAAAAAAAATAAGATAAAATAATTATTTTATTTTTTTAATATTAAATGAACTTACTGCATTATTTAATTGTAATAAAACAACAGAAATTTGTGACATAAGAAAGTTTAGTTTTATTCGACGTGGATTACGATGAGTTGGTGGATTCTGTTGACTTATATAAGCAATGAGTGCTGGAGTTGTAAATAAATAAAATGATAAACTAACTGTAACAAGCATTATTGTTAATTGTCGTTGTTTACGATTTGAATTTCCATCACTAATACGTATTTCAGATTTTAATGAATCAGATATATATGCTGATGAAAGTCGATGTCGTCGTCGACATAATGAATAAACTGTAAATAAATTTGATAGAAGTAATATATCTGGTATAGCATAAAATAAAACTGGTTGATAAATACGAATAATTAATCCACCGTTGTCACGTAAAAAACATTTATCATTTTTTGGTGTTCCAGTTATTTGATAAGTAAATGGAAATATTATGGAAAAAAATATTATTGAAAATGTTAAAAGAATGTACATTGAATAACGAGCTGAATGTACAGTACAAAAACGTTTTGCAAGAAATGGTGAATAAACAGCAACACAACGTTCTAAAAAAATTAAATTTTATTTTATATTTGTTACATTTTCAAAATTAAATTATTACCTAATGTTATAATAACAAGAACCCAATTGGCACAAAATGTTGTTAAATCTGTAATGTATGCTAATGCACAGTGAAGGAAAAGAATTCGTCGTCGTCTTGCTAAATGAGCAAAATGTAATAGAAGAGCAGCACTATCAAATATTGCCATATATGTTATAAATACTGCTGATGATGTATTTTTTAAAGATTTTCGATTAATAACAATTAATGCCAATAGATTTCCAAGTACACCTACTATACAAATAAATGCTTGAACAAATGCAAGAACACGATTAACATCGTCGATATATTGTTTAATTTCAGTACGAAAAATATTTGAAGGTGAGGATGAAGATAAATTTGTATATATAGATGTTTGCATTTTATATATATATATTAATTAAAATATAATGATATTCTTCAATAGATATAAAGAAAAATAAATAATATATTTTATATTTAGTTTATACTGTAGAAACAAGGTCTTCGGTTTTATTATCTGTCATAGCGTAGGTTGACAACAAAAAAAATGTCTAATATAGCTATCTATCCTTCGAAAATAAAAATAGATGATTGAAAGAATATGTCGACAATGTTATATCTTTACTTATCTTTTATCACTGTTACCGTCAGATAATCATAAGTTTGAAAAACATAATGAACTTACTAGATTAAAGAAAAAGATCAAAATTCATGTTATTATTATGTTTTTTTTCTGCTTCCTTCTAATAATCTACAATGGAGACATCGATTGGTTCTTGACAACAAATGTCCTCTTTAAACATATTATTAGTAATAACAAGCCAAATTAGTGGCATTGATGGCATAAGTTAGCTTTTTCAGTACAAATAACTGGAATACAAAGATTCTCATGAGACGAGAAAAACAAAAGATTGTCTGAATATACTGACATGGAAAAATATTGTCAATGACAATAGAAGTTAGACATTTCTCATAGGACAAGTGTATGTATATTAAGAATGCCTCTTAGATAAATTGATTCGACAGTTGTATTCCTACTAATACTGAATGTATATATTTGACAAGAGAATAGAATAAAAAAAAAGAAATTATGGAATATGTCAAAAACATTTGTGTCAATCTTATATACTTTTTATACGAAAGAATAAAGATCAAATCATATTACTCATTAAAACAAGTGCAAATTTAAAATTAGTCTATCGATATTTTTTTGGGAAAAAAACAGACAATATAAAGAAAAATTGAACACTATTTACATATGTCACAAATTATATTTTTTATAATAACTTAAGTTCTATAGAGTTCTTTAGTAAAAACAAGGGTGAAGTACATTTTCTAAAGTGTAATGAACATGAACTACTTAATATACAGTCCGATTAAAAAAAACTTGCACAAAATTTAATTTTTTGCAGAACGATTTTCTTACCGTTAGAAAGTAACTAGAACTTTGACTTTTTCAGGGATATATGTTCGTTAGATATACTACACGTTGGCTATATAAAAGTGTGATTTCTCATCTTTTTGATATATTAACATTTACTCATAACATAATCTATTTATTTAAAAAACTATCACATATTGACACTACGTTATTGTGACAGAGGCATGGCTTGCGCTCGTGCTATTCACCATGAAATAAAGATATCATCAAAGACTATCTATTACAATATAAATAAATTGAAACAAACAAATGTATCTAAACAGTAAAGAGAAAATGGTCGGCTATGTGCCACACGAAAATAGAAAAAATCTATATTGCTCAATATATTCGATGTAACAATTAAATAATCCTCAATGAATTCAAAGAAAAATTAACGGCAACTAACGGTTCATGTTAAGCTCATATACTAAAAAATTGTCTTCTTTCTGCTGCTAGACAAGAATTTCGTCAAAATTGGTGTTTACAACAAGATAATGATCGTAATCATACTCACAATATTTTCAAATAATTGATCAACAATAAAATATTAAAGCTATTGGAGTGCTCATCTGATACTCGAAACGCTAATCCTATCGAAAACTTGTGGTCGATCGTAAAACGCAAAGTTGAAAAATGAAAATCGAAAAATATTGATAAACTAGAGCTTTTTTTATGTGAAGAATTTAAAAATGTTGATATCGATGAAAAAACGATGTTTGTCTCTTATTGAATCTAAAGGCGAACGAATAAAATATTGAAGTATAGTGTTTAATAGCACTCGACATAGGCTATCGATCAGTAATGGAAACTACTTGAGAGTAACTGATATATGGGGATATATTTACCAAACAAGATGTGCAAGTTATTTTGAATTGGACTGTATCTTATAATAAATAGTACTACTAACGTGTTTTATATAAATAACATACTAGACTAATGTTGTTTTCTGCATGAGTTGGCTTTGCTAATATTATAATTATGAAATAATGTGTAATGATCTTTCAGCATGTTTCTGTTAAACTGGAAACTCGAGTTTCTTTTAATTAATAAGTGAATAAAATCATGTCTTTAACGTCTACAACAGATTAATAAGATGAAAAAGAAAATAATGATGAGTAATGGTTATTCATATATCTGTCAAAATTTTGTTTCACCCACTGAGCAGAGTATTTTTTCTTTGTCTCCTATCATATCTTGCAACTCCTCTTGATTCTATGTAAGAGAAGTACAATGATAATTACTTTCATTTATAAACTAACATAAAATTCTCATTTAATGTTTGAATACTTCACGTATGTTTACTACAGGGATATAAAAAATTTTGATTATATTAAACCTGGATGATGGTTGGAAAAAATAATTTAGAAAAATTCTTTAAAGTCTGTTTGAAGATATATTGTCTTTCATCTTGAAAAATATCTGATAAATGATTTATGAAAAATATATTCTAATAAAAAGCAAAAACTATTGCAGATCGCATTAATTTGTCATCAAAACGTACTATTTGCATCTCTAGATAATATCACATACTTGCCATGCATCAAAATAAAGAGGAACGACTATTTCTTTGAATATTATCAATGCTTCAAGAACTTAAATATAATAGTTAAAACGAACGGTATAGGAAGAAAAAAAATACCTCCTTATCTGCACCACTTGCAAAAAATCTGGCATGCTATTGTACTGATGACATGTTATCAAAGAAGAATAATACGTGTTTATATAATAAGACAGAAACATCATATATTGTACTCTTTTATTCTCTGAGATAGGGAAAAAAATAATAGTAAGATTCGCTAAGAGAGAAAATCTTTTTTTTTCTTTCTCTTCGTCAAAAGATAGAAAAATTAGTAGTTATAACCTCTGATTGTAACTAGTAGATGTCAAAT